TTGTGTTAGATTTCATTAAAAAGAAATAATGGAGCCAGAAGCAGCTTGAGTACCTGACATGAATTGCTGATGACTCTCTTTTTGATTTTGCAGTGTGGTTATTCTATAGGAACATCACTGTCAACTCTGTTTACATGGAGGACCCACCCACTTGACTCGCATCAACGTGCGCAGACACAAAGATAATGTGTATGATATTCCTCAAGTGTGTGGTGTATGCATTCCCATGCTTAGTTATCCCAACGGCTGATGGGGATTTGAAATTCAATAGCACTTGCAGGAAAAAATAAAGAATATGAATTGGCTTCACGGTGGGGAGAAGCAGTCGGTCGTTCAATGGTAACGGAGAGTAGTGAGGACACAGAAGCGGAGGACTTGCTGCTGAAGGACAACTCTTAGCATTTAAGTGTACTAATACATCTTCATAACAGAGAAGGCAGTATTGTCTGACGTCCATTTGATCTTGCATCAGTCAGCTTTATTACCGCCTGGAGACTTGTACAATCATGTAGTAGCCTATTTGTGGCTAAATCCGCTCAACGTAGACTCCCTTGTGTTAAGAGGGGCACAGAATTGAGATTGGTTGATGTTTTTTTTTTTTTTGAGGTTTTGCGTTCAATTTGTTCACAAGAGAGGTTATTTCTCAAGAGGGGCTGTGATGTGTTGCGACAGCTTAGTGCATAAAACTGTCTGTTTAAACTGAAAAATTAAAATGTATGTATGTGTAAAAGGAACAATTGTGTATCTCTATGGGCAGCTATGTTGATAGACATCTTCAGTACAGTTAGGACCAGGTCCAGCTCACTATAGGGTTTTCTTATCTCATACACACTGCAATCCTTGCTGTCTGCATACAGATGCCCTCAAATACTAAATGCTGACCATGGCATTCTATGACACAGATCAGCATTTTATTTTTTATTTTTTTTAAACTGCTGGATTGGTTTCTAAAGTGATTTTTTGGGCACACACAGAATCCAGAACATTTTGAGACCTTATAATGAGTGTAAATTTACAAGCTGGGTTTCGCTTTATCTGCAAAGGGAATACAAGTCTTGCCAGGAGGCAAACGGTTTTTGCTGTTATATAGACAATTAATTTACAGCATGCTGTATTGAAACCCAAACATCCAAAGATGTAATCCATTCCCATACAGGCTACCACACATATTGCACTGTAACTAAATCATCATTTGTTAAAGAGGGTGGTTTCTGTGGTACACATAAAGAAACTGCTGCCCGGAGATAGAGCTGCAGTTGCTATAGAGAATAGAAAATGTTTCACATGATGAACATACAAATACATACAAACACAACCACATTTATTTTTTCTAGAAAGTAAAAAGTTAAAGAGATGTCTTAATAAGCTACTTTCTCTACCTTGAATAGAATCCTATAAGAAAACATATACAACATCACAATTGTAATAGTTTGTTCATGTCACTCGTAATTTGTTACTTTTTCTTTTCTAACAAAAATAATGCAAATAAATAATCGCATCACAGGCTGCAGCAGAATTAATTTCTTGACTTTTCAAAATAACTCGATTATGGCTTTTATTTCCCAGCACCTATTACTGTCTCACATACTATAACTGAACTTTAACATTTCATATGCTTTGTGTTCTCCTAGACCTTTTTTTCTCTTCTGTACTAACACTTTTAACCGTTTATTTCTCTTTTCACACCTCAACTCTCAGCTGACTCAGTTTCTCCAGAGCACATAAGATCAGTATAGTGAGCCTATGTTTGCTAAAGTAACTGGACTGCTGTTCTGAAGCAGATACACACACAATGTGCACAACTCTGGGACATGACAACTATCAGTTTTCTGAACCTCCCCTAAGTAGTCATTGTGTAGAAATGATGCACATCCATTAAAAGGATTCCTCATTATACTGAGATACAACTGTCTCTCTAAGTGTGCATGTCCACAGTTGATATGATCATGATTGATTGGTTGTTGGAAGTTTAGTCATCAAACCTGTCTGAATCAGTCTGTCACCTGGCGGTCACACCACTGGCTGTAAATGGCTACATTTTCTACCACGAGACAGAGGAGACGCATCCTGCTCCCCGTATTTATCTCTCAGGTTCTGGCAGTGATGCTGTTTTAATGGTCGGCAAAGTGAGCTTCAATTGGAGATTAGGAGAAGTTTAATGTTTTAGAGCACTTGTCTTTTCAAACTCCTTGGCTTCAATCTAAACATATTTCCATTACCCCTTTTCATATTCTGGCTAATGAAGATCGTTTTGCACTTAACCTGACTGATGGGATATCTGCTATCCACGGTACAGCCATTGAATAGAATCACTCCCTGTGTATGGACCTATTACTGGTGAGTAGGAGAAAGTATGTCAAAAAGGAAATCTGTGCAGGTACCAGCGAACTAAATTAAATTAATTTAGAAAATTACTTTCAAGGCTTTCAGACTTAATTCAACAAATCTTACTCTGTTGTAGCCTCAAGCCAGCCTAAATCTTTTGAGACTTGTTTTTTTTCTCCTGCTGGTGGCCTGGAAAATATCCACAGAGAATGGATAGAGCCGACCAGCTGGAAGTTTGACCAATCAGAGAGCTATAATAGCTGATGTTACTGGGCAACTCCTAAAACCTTGTTTTGGTCTCATAAATGAAGCAGGATCCTGCACCCCTAAGGCCTGTTTCTTTCTTTCCCAAAAAGTAATTCAAAAAGCGATTTCAGTGGACAATGTACGAGTCGAGACAGCTCATTTTGTTCCTGTTTTGAAATCAAAAGCAAAGACCAATAAAAGCCCATCATGCAGTATGTTTGTCTGATCCGGTGTGTCGAGGGTTCATGTTGATGCCTGACCACAAAAAGCAAAGCGTAATTTGAGAGCTGGCTACCACCGCTGGTCAGGAGATGAAACTGACACTGCCAGGGGAGGGTTTTTTATATTTCAGCAGTCATGGTCTTGTGTATTTTCAAATAGACTGAAGTCCAAGGCTGCTCCTCTCTCTAACCTCATCAAAGATTTCAAAATTAAAGTTCAATGTTTTGATAATCTTCCCATTTGGCAAACTCTGAATGATGCTTTTTATTCCATTTCATATGTAAGCTAAAGAACCCTAAAAGCACAGGGTCATGGCAGGTGTTGCATTATCATCTCAATACTTCAAGGTAGTCTTTTGTTGAATGGAGAATTGCAGGGCATAATTCCAGATTCAACATGTATGACCTTGATTTGAGCAGCTCTGTATAATTCAATGTCTGTTCACCTCAGCGGGGGCTGTGAAAGAAATGCATGTAAATGATAGATGACTTGTCATTCATCACTGTCGTCACCTTGACACCCAGGAGGAAATAACAACCCAGCCAGGGTGTGTCACTTCCTGTGTGCAGCCACTTTGTCTTTGCCTAAAACCGTTTAGCTGTCGAGTTGAATGTCAAATACTGTACAAAGACACACATGCAGAAACTCAAAAACAGATGCATAGTTATTATTCATCATGGAAACATGTTCACAAAGCACACTGTTTGTCTTGATTAGAAAGTTGCAGATGTTCTTTTGTCAAATGTCATTCAACTTTTCAAATTTAAGTAATCACTAAACGCCACCAAAAGTTCCTCAGACTTGTAAAACATTATGATTCCTTACCCAAATACAATACTCATATGTAAAGGCTTAGACAAACAGTTTGGTATATTTCAGCCCATATACTAAATATTAGGGATACATGTGTACCTCACATTATTGTCATTTACAAAGCATATAAGTTTTAGATTTAGAATTTCCTTCTTTTCAAGCAGCCTTTTTTGTTCAGTTTCATTTCTGAGGGATGAAAAACAATTTACAACTTACATTTCTTCATCTCAACTTTGATGTCTAAGTTGCTTTAATGGATGAAGGTGATTTGAAAGCACTGTAACTGTACATTTTAACAAAGGGTAACTTAAGATAATTAGTTATAAATGATTACTGTTGGGAAAAGTTTCTGGGATTCCTTCTTATTCCACATTAAGAAGACAGTTTAAACTGAATGTGACGTAACATGGGTGAGGTTTCATAAAAAAGATAAGGCTGCTGTATTTGATATCTTGTAACCTGCAGTAACATCATTTTTTGACCACAAAAAAGTTTTGAACACAAGAATGATATATCACCTTATGTACACATCCAGCAGTTACGGAGAAACATTATCAATCATTTGGAGTCGTGGTTTTGGCCACCTGATAAAAGTAAGTCCAATATTCGCCCTTATTTAGCTCTAGTTTTGGTCTCTACCAACTCCTGACTTAAATTTCTGGCTCTTCAGCAACTAAATGCTCCACTATGTCCACCAGCTTTGTGTTTATGCATATTTGTTGCTGAGAGAGAACACAAACATTAACGCTGCAGCTGAACTATAAAACTATAAAGCTTCGTAAAGCCGCAGGGACCTGCATATTCAAGTGACATTCTTGTAGGTTTATCAATCTGAATTATCCCTTTCACATTGTCAGTGTTTTCCACTGTCATTTGATACAATGTTATTATAAAAATGTCAATTATAGCTGCTTTCAAAATGTCACACACAAACACAATAATGTGTTTTTAATTGTATTTTGGCCAACCATTCCATGGTATAGGGCACAGAGGACTGAGGCTTTGGCTACATAGACAATGCTTGTTAACAGGATCAATCCATTGTTGTTTTTTTGTCTTCATGGGATTTGTTGACAATATGAAAAGTATAGAATATTTCCGGACCTATCTTTTAAGTGCGAGCAAGGGGCAACACTGTCTTCCTTGAACAATACATTTTATTGACTGCACTTAGAACTGGCTGTGGCCCTGCAGGCGTGGCAGTGCCAAGGAATTAATGGTTGAGATGCTGAGTCATGACCTCTTTCATCCTCACTCTTTGCAATCGCTCTCTAGTGACAGCTGTCCGAGAAATGAACAAGTGCGCTGCTGCTTTCTGGTTGTTCAGCAGGGTGTTCAGTTCATATTTCATTCACGCGTTGATTAATTCTGTGGAAGGAGGGAGTCTGACGTACCTTTGGCTAAAACTGTTCTCCTTCCTCCGACAGTGGAGGGTGACAATCCTGTGACCTTCACTTCTGACATCCTGACTCACCGTCCACACAACAGGGTTCATGGCCCTAGCTCCCAGGAACACCACGCCGTCCTTCAGCTTGACCCTTAAATACAGAAACAAAAAAACAAGGGAAAAATATTAAATTAGATGATACTGGAACTGTCACCAGAACTCATTAAATGAATTGAATTAAGTTTCAGAGCTTCTGAAGCACACATGGCCTCTTTTGCTCTCTCTGTCTCCGACACACACAAACATGTCAAAAGAAAGAAAGACATTTTTTGAGGTGGCGCTTTAATTGTCTCTCACAGAGGTCACAAAACAACACTTCAAATGCTCATAGGCTCTCACACTGACACACAGGCAAGAAGGACATTAGACTAACTACTGAAAGCTACAAAAACATGCTTTTACTAATATAAAAGCACTAAACTGAAGCTATAAAAGAAAAGAAAAAACTTTTGAAAGGGAACTTTTGATGGTAGATCTTGAGAAAATCATTACTATACTCTTCTAACAAAATGTGGATCACAAAGGAATTCTTTCTACTTTTGGACCTAATCCATTTTGGATAGTATATAATATAGTAAACTAAAATGATTGTACTTGGGATGAATATTGCTTTAGGAAAGTGAATCTGGCAGGTACAAGCTAAATTATTTCATTAGCAGTGATGAAACATAGCATCAGGACAACAGATGGCATGTTGGCTGAATTGAAATAATCACCACTCAGGGGTAGCAGGCTCAAATTAACCTCTGTGAAAGTCTGTTTAACAGCAATATGAGTACATAATGAAGGAGTCTTACATGACAAGTCATGTTTTACCCTTGTAATATCCCAACATTAGCACCTTCAAATTCCTTGTGTGTGAAAATCTGCTTGACAATAAACACAGATTCTGGTTCTTTATGGAGCAAGCTTCACTTAAGATAATTTTGGCTTTTTTCGCCCCAACACCTGGGGTTTTTAAAGGACTCCAATCTCTGCAGCCTTCATGCCACCTCTGCCCCACCCTTTTGTCCCCCTATCACTTCCATTAGTGGTGGTCACAGTCTGTGGGAGGCCATACAGGTGCAGAAGAACCATGACCTCCTTCTCTTTCAGCGTACTGACACGCTGTTGCTCTCCTCCTCCTCCTCTGTCACATGTAATTACCATGAAGTACGTGAGAGGCTTTCATTACTTCCTTCCCAACATGACAAATTGCTCTTGTTCAAACCACTGGCACGAATGGGGAAGAATATTCTATGTGAGTAGAAAGAAGGAAAGAACGGAAAGGAAAAGGGAGATCTGAAGTAAAACACCAACAGCACAAAAAAGGTGAGGAAGAAGAAACATTTCTATTCAGTAAAACATGAATGCTGGGTAATTTTTTCCCCACATCAAAATAATTGGAGACTGTCCTCGTTCTGGAGCTGTGAAAGACTTGTAAAGGATGAAGGAAAAAAACTGAGCTTAACTGGGGGATAATGACATGACAAACCATGCAGCAGTCCTTAGAAGAGCACAGTCATTACATCTTCAGTGTTCAACCGGTCTTTTTTGATCTTATCCAGGCCGCTGAGGCGGTAATAACTGGCCTTGTGTTGGTCTCCGTCCTTACGAGCAAAGATAAAGGCAGCCAGTGTGGAAGACACAGGCAATAACTAGGAGGAGAAGACAGATTGTCGTATGCCCTCCTGTTTCCCTGTCGTCACCTTAGCCACGGCACAGTAATTACTACAAACTCACAAGCAGGTTCAGCACTGACAGTTTACAACCGGGGGAGCATTACAAATGCCAGTAATACATTGTGTTTTCACAAGTGCTCAATTTTGATTACCAGTTGATTGTTTCAGTCATTTTACAAGTAATAAATAATTGATTAACAAATGAGAAAATGTACTTGTTTTAGTCTGTTTCCTATCATTATCAATGTAATTCTCTTTTGGTTTATTTTGGCTGCTGGTCTGACTAAGTGAGCACTTTAAATGTCTAGTTTGTAGGATTTGGCAGCATCTAGAGGTGTAGTTGCAGATCACAAGTCCCTCGCTTCACCCTCCCCTTCCAAGCGGGGAAGAAGAGAAACACCCCTATCTAGAGCCAGTGATTGATTTGTCTCTTCTGGGTTACTGTGGAAACGTGGCGGTTCAACATGGCGAATTCCATGGAGGGCGTCTGTAGATTTAAAAGGCTCATTCTAAGGTAACTAAAACATAATGATTCCCATATTAATGTAATTATACACTAATGAAAGCATGCAGTTATTCATATTATATTCCATTTCTTCCAATAGATCCTCCTCAATGTTATACACTTGACCTTGTGGTGTTTTGTCACTATGTTTGCCATTTTATAGAGTAAATGAGTTAATCAATGAATTAACTAGTTTATAGATGGATTGATCCGTATTGATGTTAAATGAACTCCAGTGTCTACATAGTCCACAGCCCTGATACTCTGCTGTCTTAATGGCTAACCTTCCCTTTCTTTCTTTCTTTCTTTCTTTCTTTCTTTCTTTCTTTCTTTCTTTCCTAATATCCATGTTCCCCAGTTTCACAGCTGTCTTCTCCTTTCTCTTATTTTCTGTTTCTTCTTCCTGCATCATGCTCATTTCTCTCACACATGCATTAGTTAAGGGGGCTAAATTAACAAATGGCATGTTGCAAATGAGATTGGTTTGGCTAATATGATTTCTGGTGAGGGAGGAAAGGGTGGGGGGTAGGCAATAAAGGAAAGCAATTTGAAGGGAGGCCCCCTTTCACATGCATCAGCACATGAAGCCGCCTCATTAATTCCATGAAAACCTGCATCAGTGGGATGAGTATTTACAGATGAGATGAGGTTGTCAGAAAAGACAGTTTTCAGCTCTTTGTGATTGATGCTTAGAAATGACACCCCCAGGATGGCCACTGCCCAAATAACATGTCAACACACCTTACGCTCTGGCATGCCTCCCGCATGCTGAATGGAACACAAATGCACATTAATATTAATGCACTTTACACAGCAGGAAATGAAATAGGATAAAAACAATTCTGAATAAAATGAAAGACTGTGTGAGTCTTGTGTGCTAAAAAAAGACACCATATAGTATACATGGTAAACCGCTAAGATAAATATATTGAAGTAACAATAAATTACCAATAAAATGAGACCCAAATTAAAAAGCTGTGAGAAAAAGTATTTTAAAAAGTAACCAAGCTCCTAAAATATTGAATAGGAGAAAGCAGATGAGAGTAATGACCTGAGTACTGCCCGGAATTAATGTTCTGATTTGGCCATGTAAGTCCTCTATTCAAGGTTATTTCATTGTCATTTACAAAGGAAGATTGTAGAATGAAATTTAGATATAGTTCCCTTTATGCTACTTTTAACAAAACAAAACAAAAAAAGATTAATGAGTTATAAAAATGTATAATGAATTGTTGAGGTCACAACAGCCTGAGGGAAGAAGCTGTCTTTAATTATTTTATATAGAATTCCTTATTTAGTGACAGTGTTGGGAGGGAAATATCTGGCTCTTTAGGTGCTAAGTGCTCCACTTTGGTCTCAAACAGCGGTCTCTAACTGTATCTGTCTGCTGTGTGCTGCTGAGCAAGTAGTGCGCAATGTGTTTTTAGAGCTTTATCACTGAAAACAGCTGCCTGCTACAGCCGAAAAAATTATGCTACGAGTGCGCTGAGAGTGAACCAAAATGTAAAGCTGAGGGGAACTGCATATTTAGGTGATTATTCTCTGTAGGGTTCACTAGAAGCGTACTCGTTGACATTGTCACATTGCTTTCACATTATCATTTAATAGCTATTATTATAAGAGAAAGAATAAAGAATCATAATAAGTATCAAAAGTGAAAGTACTCAGCGTTATATTATTACATATATTCTATTGGATTACTACCACTGATATAATAATGTGTAATCAGAATTTTTATGTTGTTACCTGTTCAAAGGGAGTCTAGTTTTTTGGTAGTCTCATTTATAGAAATTAATATATTTTACAACTCGATCATAAGTTTTGTATGAAAAATCGGAACCTGCAAAGTAACTAATTAGCTGTCAGATAAATGTAGTGGAAATTGGTAAAACTGAAGTAAACTTCAATTAACTCAAAAAGTACAGTAGTTGAGAAAATGTAATCCTTTGTTTTCATTTCACCACTGTAAAGTGAGTTGTGAATTACTGTAGAGTAAGTGAATGTCGGACACAATCCTAGTCCTTATGTCCTCGGGACCACATAAGAGTCAGAAAGTTATTCAATACAAGGTGTGACAAATGCATAGGTTTAATAATAACTTGACAAACATATTTGCACTGTACTTGGGAATTAATGAAAACACAGAAAAAAACAGCCAAAGTAAGTGACAAGCAGGGCGCCTTTCCTTGAGGGGGGGGTTGTTAGGGGTCAAGGTCTTTATGGTGAGCACAAGGATGGAAGGGATAGCTGGGTGTTGAGCACAAAGAGGGAATGGTAGTTTACAGAGACCAGCCAGGTGGATTAGAAGAGACAGGTGTTGTATCAGTGTGGATGAAAAAGGACAGAGGACGGCAGAAACAAACGTTCAGGAGAAGAGAAGAGTTGAAGACGGGGCTTTACTGGCTAAGAGGCTAGAATAAGAACTTGTAGTCGGCATTGACATTTGCTGTCTGCTCTGCTCTTCCAACAATTGGAGAGAGATATATCAATGTAATCTTCCAGAGGCCATTTGCAAGGTTATTTCACCCATTAAACTTAAAGTTAAAACAATGATAATAAAGATGAGAATAAACAGGAGGACAGTTCCCTGCATTGCAGCCCAGGTAATAACATATCATTACTCTGGTGAAGATGGAGACACACATCTGAAAGAACCAAATAACTTCTCTCTCTCACACGCACACACACATATATACATACACACACACACAGACTCCCGTCTTGGTCTGTGTCTATATCTGATTTAATGTTAACACATGGGCAGAGAGTGGGCTGGTGGACAAAGCTAACCTTTAGTGGAGATAAATGAAAGTGAGAACAATTGCTCTGATATCAGCTGCACTACAAAGAAACCACCTTTAGCTCCTACATCACAGAAAGGCTCCTGCAAAGCGAGAGACAGATGGAGAAAAGCTCTAATACAGA